AGCCAATGGGCTGCTGGACTGTCTGACATTGTCTGTACCAGCAATGTTGGGCACACTTTAATAAGAAACTGATGAGATTATGACTCCTTATGATGGGCTTAATTTTCAAGCAAGCAGAATGCAGAGAAAACTGCATAACTCCTTCCCATTCCAGATTAATAAAATCCTGTTTTTTGCATCCCCCTTCATAAACCCGGACTGAGGCGGTGAGTGAGAAGATGGAGCATGAAATTGAAGTGCATCCTGGTATCACTCCCAGTGGACGTATCCAAGTGGAAGTGTTCAGAACCAAGAGCTCTGGAGTTTCATCCTACACAGGTGTCTGAAGTGATGTGTGGCTTGTGGCACACAAGAAGGTTATCCTTCCGACAGCTCCCAGGGCATCCCCTCTCGTCCCTATAAAGGGTTGGACCAAGAGCACCGGGCCAAAATTCAGCTCAGGCTCCAGGATTAGTTCTGGAATGGAAATCTCGCATATGAGAAATACTTCCAGAATGCCCTGAGGTTATGAACCAGCTCCCGTCTAAAGAAGCTAAACTTTGGTGGTACCACTCATAGGGCTGGAATTCAGGCAGAGAAAGGGGTCAGGACTTGGGGGATCAGCCCCCGATTGTGGAGATCAGTATGAAAAGAGGCAGGGAGAAGGGAGCTAGTTATCCCAATGCTGGGATAACTGGAAGCATGGGGAGAGGAGATGGGATCTGGGGAATGGGGTCTGGGGCTGAATGGGGGCTGGGTGGCTTCAGGTCCAGGGGGGTGAGTTCCTGAGAAGCGGAGGACATGGAGTCTGCTCAGGAAGTACAGGGAATAAGGGAAGGAAGAGACCTGAGGCGCTGGCCCAGTAGCCATGAGGTGGGCCTGGCCTCAGTCACTTGGCCCTCCACATAAAGAGAAGGTCAGAGAGCCACAAGCAAGTCGCTGACCCCAAGGGGTGTGGAAGAAGCTTGTATTTTTGGTCTCCCTCCAGCTTCTTAACTGAAGAAACAGGGAGGGGCAGGCCCTGACCACAATGGCTGGCTAACCTGTGGCCAACTGAACTCCACTGGTAGAAACTAGTCTGGGATTTGTCACTGGGTTTCAGACAGTCCCAGGGAACCGGTTGGGGCACTCAGGCCCCCATCTCAGTATCCTCAAGTCATCCCTCAACTCCCCTGGGGAAGTCAGTTAGTCAAGACCTATGAATTTTCTAGAAGGTTTTAAGTTGCCTCAGCATGGAGGGACTTGGGTTAGGAGGACAGCAAAGGGATCCATGCAGAGAGGAAACACACTGAGGTCCTTAGGCACCCTCAAAGTCTCTTTGGGAGTTCTGGGGGCCTCTCACCAGAAGGCCAGATACATTGTAGAACCTCCAGCTTCTCCACAGCAAGACCCTGCAGCATGCATTTCCTCAGGGCTTGCCCATAGATTCTGGTGCTTTCTAGAAGATTCCTGTTGGTCACCAAACCATAGCCCTCCCAAGAGGTAGATATCCTCCCCCTCACCTGTGACATCTGGCCTGGACTTGTGGGTTGGTTGGGTGTAAAAACTTTCCACATATAGTTCTAGCCTGGCCTGACAGGAGTCAGGAGCTGCTTCAGGGAGGTACAGAAGGGAGCAACCGTGGCAGATATTTGAGTCTAGGGGTCTGTGACCAGCCCCTCCAGGGCCTAGGGTGTCTGTGGGACACTCCCAGGAACCTGAGCCAGGAGATGCCCATGATGCATGCTGATAAGTAGCCCAGTGAGCCCACTAAGCCAGGGTATCTTTGCTGAGGTGGCTCTGGGTTGAGCTCTAACCCAGCTTCCACCAACCTAGCACAGTGCTGCCACCAGGCCAGCGTCATATTGCATTGCAGCTGCATATATCCTTGTTCATCTGTATGATCATCACAGATCAGCAGTGTCATTCGTCAGCAGGTTTGAGGAGAGTCCCAGCCACCGTTTCTAGCAGGGGGACTGAGCTGGGAGTGCTCCCTAGGATGGGATTTCCAGTAGCATTGCCTCCCTGTGTTTCTAACACCTGACATGGAATATGCAGCCTCCCAACAGCAGTCACCGCTGTCATTTGCAAACAGACATGTACCTTGCTTACACAGAGAGGGCTCCTCGCTTCCCGGGGACCAGCCATACAGAGCTGCAGCCCCAGAGCCTGGGCCTCAGCTCCCGGGCCCTCCTGCATCTGAGCCTTCCAAATTGTGACAACTAGGGAGGGAACAGGGTATCTGAGTCTTGAGCCATGCATGTTGCCACAGGGTTGTGGAGCCCCAGAGTTCCGTGTCCAAGCCCAAGCCAGCACAGCCCAGGGGCCTTTCTCCAAGTCCTTCTGCATGCCTGTCCCTTCGTGGTCACCAGCGAAATGAGAGAGAAGACTGTTGTGCAAATTGGGCCATGATCACTCTGGACACTGGTGCCCAGGAAGTGGTGACAGGCAGTGGTGAGGGAAGGAACTGTGCTTTCTGGAGAAAGCCCAGCACCACAGGAGCAACTGATTCTCTACGCAATTGACTCACACACACTCTGCAATTCTCCCTTAAAATACCAAGCAACAGGCATTCTCAGAAGCCACCACACCATGCCATGGGCATCTTTCCCAGCCTGCAGGCTTGTCTTGCCTTCTGCCTTCCTCTGCACTCCTCCCCCACCTAGTGGCTCTGATGCGTCTATTTTGACATGAGATGGGATCCAGTCACCTTGACAGGTAGGTAAACCAAGGAAGTTTAAATTCACCAGCTCATGTTCCAAACAGACCCTCTTACTTCTTCCTTCAAGCTGCACCCTTTGCAAGGTCCCTGAGGAAGGATGAGGACGTGGATCAGGGATGGAGCAGGACTCCAGGAAGAATGTGTCCAGAAAGAGGGCTGTTCACTTTGGGCTAAGTGCACCCCACAGCACCCCTCAAAAAAAGGTAGACCACAAAGTCCTAAGCTCCAGACCCATGAGTATGACCTACATTGGAAACAGGGTCCTTACAAATGTGATCAGGTTAAAACGGGAGCGGGTCTGATCTCAAATGACTTTCTGTCCTAGGAAGAGACCTAGGGCAGGGAGAAGGCTAGGAACAAGACCCCCTGGGGAGGGAGAAGGTAGGACAGCTCTGCACAGGCTGTCAGTGTGGCCAGACAAAGGCAGTTGGAGCTGACGGGGGGTACGGGGTGGGGAACGTAGGAAAGGGGTTGGGGGAGGAGGATTGGCTTCTTGCTGCCAGAAGGAATGAAAGCTTTGAGGGAGAAATTCTGTTGGGTTGTGGAGAAATGAGTCTCCACCACCACCCTCCCGGAGGAGCACGTGGCTCACACTAACCACGCCTGGGGACACTGCTGCTCATCCCCAGAGACCCCAGAGGGGTCTGCTGGGTGAGGAACTGAGCCTGCAGGGACCCAGAGGGCCATCTGTCAGCTCTGGGTGCCACACCTCGGACAGCAGCTCCCCCTGGGACGTGGCTGTGTCAGACACTCTGCACTCATCTTGGCGTGGGGCAGGTGACTGTCATAATCTCCAGATGGAACAGTTCAGCTAAAGAAGTTCTTTTCCCAAGGTTAGTTGCACAGACAGCTCATTGTTCGGGTGATATGACAAACATTCAGAGGGGTGACACAAATGTCTCCAACCCTTGCACTCTGGTATCATGGTCACCGACTTACAATCTTCTTCTTCTGTTCCCCCTCTCTAAGCCCACATCTTCCCCAAACCCCATTTCCTGCCAGTTCATTCCTACTTCCAGACACATTCCCACAGACACTTGAGTCATGTATGGATGGCGAATTTTGCGTGTCAACTTGGCTCTAGGCTCTGGTGCCCCATGGCTGGGTCAAAACACCAGTGTATGTGTCATAGTGAAGGTGACCTTTAGGGGTGGTGGAAGTTGAAATTGGTGGTGTTCAAATACAGATCACCATCCACAACTAGGGAAAAGGGGAGGTGGGTTGAGCCAGTTGAGGGGTGTTCCAAGCAAAGACTTGGATTTCCAGTCTGGCCAATCTTAAAGATTCAAAGCTGCAGCTCCCACAGTTTTAAAACAAAGAATCCCTCATATACATATGCATGCATACACATATTTGTGAGCACATGAGTCCCATATTGGTTCAATTTCTCTGCAGACCCCCAGCAATTAGAAAAGTCGTGCCATGAACCCCCCACCCCACAGGGGAAAGCCTCAGTGGCCATAATAAGGCACTTTGGCCTTGAAAGATTTCTTTCATGCACACAACAACCCACATGATCAATAAGATAGCTCCAGGTACAGATAGGATCATTTCCTTCTCACCAGAAGCAAGAGAAGGTGTGGGTGGGGCTGCACAGCCCCAGCAAGGTCTTCTCCCCACAGACTCCCCAGGGTGGGGCCCAGCTGGTGCTCAGTCTTGGAGGCTTGGCCCTTGGAGCTCCCCAGTCCCCTTCCTCCATCCCTCAGGCTGCAGAGAGAAGGCATCACTCCTCCGCACCTTGCTGCAGCTTTTTGGCTTTCTGTGGGTCTCCTGACCCTGCCTCTGGCCTGCTCCCATCTCCCACACCTCCCTCAGATGTGGCTTCCTCCTTCCTGCCCCCACATCTCCTAGCCCGGGGCCCAGGCAGCATTGGAGCTGTTAGTGGCTGGCAGGAAGTTACTGGGTGGTTAGAAAGGGGCTAATGCCCCAATGGAACACTCTGCACCCTGAAGCTATGTTTCTTGCCCAGCATTATTAAGGCATTGTATAGAAGTACCTCCCAGCTGTGTGTATCAGGTGGATATGAAGCACAAATGGGTTTAGACTTGGGTTCCATCCCCAGGCTGTGTCTGTGTATATATGCAAATATTCCCAAATCCCCCCCCCACCTCCAAAAAAATACAAATTGAAGCAATTCTGATTTGAAGCATTTTTGGATAAGGAGCACTAAACCTGTACATCTTATTTCTGATCATTTTTTCCCCTTAAGGATTCTACTCTTCCCCACTCCCCAAAGGACATCAGCTTCCAACCCATAGTGCCTGATGGTTCCCGAGATTAAGCCAGAAAAGTCAGTGACCAGTTCGATCTGGCCCTCTGCTCAAGGCTGGTTGACACTTGGTGTTTTGGAGGAAACTTTTCCCTGGACCAGATAAGGAGGAGGACGCTCTGAGTTTTAAAATACACAGGAGCCACTTCTTGGAACGCGGGGATGCGAAGAAGTAAATGACAGGGTCCATGCCGCAGTTCACACTCCTGAGAGCCACCGTGAGCTGCAGGGCCAGTGCAAATGCCCTCTGCTCAGCACAGGTTGGCAGGCGGCGGGCCACGCTCAGCACCAGCTGCAGGAGGTTCAGATGGTAGGGGTTGAAACGCACCAGCACAGCCACCAGCACCACCAGGCTCAGCAGGCAGGCCCTTCGGGGCCGTGCCTGCCGGTGGTGTAACAGGGAATCTTTCCCAACTGCCCTGCGCTGCTGCAAGGCGACCTTCACAGAGCAGAAGAACACCACTGTCACAGGCATGCAAAAACCAACTGCACAAGCCACCAGGATGGGGACAGGTAGCCCCATCTTAGGCTGCACACTTCTATGCTCCGTACAGGTCGGCTCACCTGCCACAGGCTTGGCCACGGGGGCCAAAAGCAAGGGTGCCGTCTGAAGTAGCGCTAGACACCAGACGGCTGCACACACAAGCCTTGCTTGGCCAGCACGGTGGAGCGGCGGGCACCTTCGGGCATGCACCACTCCAAGGTAGTGGTCCACACTCAGGCACATCAGGATGTAGATGCCCCCATGAGTATGCATATAGACCAGGAATGCTGCCAGCCTGCACAGCTTGTCCCCTAACGGCCAGTGGAAGCCCAGCGCATAGTAGATGATCTTTCCCGGCAGTGTCAAGGTCAACAGGAGGTCGAACAGAGCCAGGTGGACCAGGTAGACACCTGTTGAGTTGATCTTCTTGCCCTCCCGACAGGCGAGGCCAAGGGCCAGGATATTCCCCAGGACACTGAAGACCAAGAGGGCTGCGTAGAACAGGGTGAGTGTCATGCCAGCTGCCAGGCGCGGAAAGGGAGGCAGGCACTGGTTGGCACTGAGGGCCAGGCTGCCTGAGTCAGCCTGATTGGAGATCATCTCATTCAGGGTCTAGGTAGGGGAGATGGAAAAACGCCTCTGGAATGGTGACAGTTAATGATTTGGCTGGGGCAACATGCATGTGGAAGACCTGTCTCTTTTTCAGTCCGTGGTATGTAGAAACAACATGCCATCCCGGGCATTATTACCCCCACTCCACCCTGGACATACGTATAGCAGCCTAGATCACCTGACTGTGCTCATGCATTCTCTGGACTGGAGTGTGGAGCAGGGTGGGGGTCCCCTAAGGGTGGCATGCCTCCGCTCCCTCATACTGGATGCCCTGGCTAGGAGAAGCCAACAGCTGGGGGCCGGGCGATGGCCACGGTTGGGATCTTAAGAACATGACCCTGCTCATGCGTGTGCCAGCAAATGCTCATTGCTGACTGCAACCTGAGCCTGGTTGTCACCATGAGCACCTATTATCAGTATGCTCTGCAGGGACCACTCCTCCAGCCTGGCCACTGCTACAGACAGTGGACACCTCACAGGGGGCACACCAGCCCCTTTCTCTCCCACTCCCTGCCCCAGCCACATCGGCATGAGGCCAGACACCTGGACGGAGCTCTGCACCTAGAGCTCACCGACATGACTCCAGCTCACCTAGCCTAAGCCTGTGTGCCCTGGAAATCACAAGAAAGAGTCTCGGCCACATTTCCCGCCCTGCTCCCTCTGTCCCCTGCCACTGCTGGGGTACCCGCAGGTGCTGCCTGCCCCTTATGTTTGGGAACTAGAGTTGCAAACTCTGTCCTCAAAAGGAAGTTCTCTCTGCTGCTGTTGGTCCTGCCACTCCCCAGATCTTAACACAGTCTGTTTTCACACACAGCATCACCTTTTCTAACCCAGCCTTGGGAATGTTTACCTTGTCACCTCCACTCCCTGCCATTGGTTACAAGCAAGTCATGAACCCACCCCCAAAATTCAAAGGGAGGGGACCCTGACCCCAGTTCAAATTGGTGAAAGTCACCAAGAATTGTGGACATTTTTCAAAACCACAAGGCACACATACAGAAATATGTGCTACTCAGGACCAGCCTTATGGCAGTCACTGCGATCCGTGTAAGCACCAGTAGGAATCCCAGCTGCTCCACCTCTGATCCAGGTCCCTCTCTGGGAAAGCACTGGAAGATGGCCCAAGTACATGGAGACCTGGATGGAGTTGCTGGCTTCAGCCCGGACCAGCCCGGGGCTATTGGGGCCATTTGGGAGATGAACAAACAAATGGAAGCTCTCTCTGTGTTTCAAATAAGTAAATAAAAATATTTTTAAAATATATGTGATTCATCAAAGCACACCTTGACAACTTTCAAAGTGTACATATCCGTGTATCCTCTCGTTCACCAGGCTGATTTCGCCACTGCCAGGGTCTGTTTCCGCACAGTGACAGTCACACTCCTGCCTCCTAAATACCAGCTCCATCTTACCTGCTTTGGAACTCCACATAAATGCAGTCATGCATGGTGTATTCTTACACCGATGCCTCCTGGAGCTCCAAATCCGATTGTGAGCTTCACCCCTCATGCAGTCTCTCTGTTCTCATTGCCAATTGTGCTCCCTGCAGGGAGTATGCCACTCGCCCGCCATTCTGCCATTGGTCAACTTTGCAGGAGTCTCCAGTCTGGGGGAAGGTAGGCCCCGTTCTGCTCTGCCTGCTCTCTCACTTGTTCATGGAGAAGTGCACAGACACACACACACACACACACACACACACACACACACACACACATATTTTGCAGAGTACGCAGCTAAGGAGAGGAAATGGCAAGGCAAAGGTTCTATAGGTATCTAACTTCAGAGGGGCTCAGAGTACCATATACCCAGGTAGCCTTTCTAAAAGCTGTCCACTGCATGGGACAGTATCACGGGCTCCCCACACCTGGTACTGTCAGGTTAGTCATTTCACCGGGAGGGGAGGTGGCATCCTGTTGTGGTTTTGATGGTGCTGCTCTGACCACTGCCAATGTCAAACACTTTCTCACTTCAAATATTTTGTCCCTTTTTCCAGTAGGCTGTAATGTCACGTAGTTCTGTAAAGCTGATGTACACACACTGCTCACTCAGCCTTGTCTTCTCTGATACACCCCCGTCCTTACAGCTGTGTTTGGAGCCTCCTCCAACCCTTCATTTCCACACCTTCAATGTGCACTCAATGCTCTCCGTGCATCTAGTCCAGGGACCAGGGAGCCAGGTCAGGAGCAGGTGGTGCTGTCAGATGCTGATGCAAAGGGCACCACCAGGTCCATGAAGCCCAATGTTAGACATGGCAGGCCCCTCCTGGTAGGAAGCCTGCTGGAGATGGTGTCTCTTGTCAATCTAGGAATAGAAATTGCTGTCTCCTCTCTGCAGGTTGAGAAGGGCAGGACTTCTGTTCAAGAGGAAAGAAAGGAATGCCCAGCTGCAAGGCAGACAGAGGGGCAGCCAACAGGGTGTTGAGCCTCGGGTTGGATGATGGCGGATGCAGGTTCTAGAGTACAACCTAGGTGATTATAAAGGAGGAAATGGAGAGATGTGCTGCATTAGACACGTGGGCATTAAATGATAGCTAGCTGGCGAGATAGATGATATATAAATATGCTCCCTGAAAACAGAAATCAAAAGTCACATTTTAACCCTCTTGAGGGTCCCTCACAAACTAGACTAGCCCCTGGGAACATTCAGAAGGTACAGAAGAATGCAATCTTCACCATTCAAGGGCTGTGGACCTTCTATGGAAAGCCAGGGGCACAGAGAAAAAGCTAAGTGTGACTGGACACTCTTTCTTCTTTCTTTTGGCCCTTCTAAGGCAGCACCCAGGGATGGGTGTTTGGAGCAGTGGGTGGGGTGCTCCTGGGGACACCTACATCCTGTACCTGAAGGCCTGGCTTGAGGCCTGGCTTCTGATTCAGCTTCCTGCCGGCGTGCTCTCTGGGAGGAAGTGGCTGATGGCTCAAGCATGTGTCCCTGCCACCCACAGGAGATACAGGTTTGAGTTGCCTGCTCCTACCTTTAGTGTGACCCAGCCATGGCTGCATGAGGGCATCTGGGGAGGGGGGCAGTGGATGGACCATCTCTCAGTCTCTATCGTTCTTTCTTCTGATCTCTACCTTCCAAAGAAAATGAAAACACAAAAGACTACACAAAAGAAAACACAAAAAACTAAGCATCTTTTTTTGAAAGTCATTTGAAAAAAGTAAACCAACTCTATAATAAGTATCTTAAAACATGTGCAATTATACCTGTGCAGCGTCTGGATTGAGAAACCATAGGCTAAGCTGCTGTATGGGACTCCAACATCCTAAACGCAGCAGCAGGTTGAGTCCTGGCCCCTGGGCTTTCAGATCAGCCTCTTGGGAAGGCAGCGAGTTGCCATCCCTGACCCCATCGCAGAAGTTACTGGTGCCCGACTTTGACCTGCCCTGGCGCCAGCTGTCATGAGCAATCAAACCAACAGATGAAAAATCTCTCTTACTCTCTCTTTCTCCCCTCCCTCTCTTTGCCTTTCAGTAAATAAACCTTAGAAATTTCTCCTTCAGCTAGATCTGCTTTGTAGCTTTATTTTCCAACTCTCTCACAAGCAAGTTGCTTCTCTAGGCCTCCAAGCCCAGACACAGCAAGGATGCACACCCTGGGGCAGTTATATGAGCTCCAGTTCAAACCCCAGCTGCTCCGCTTGCAATCCCACCCCAACATGGCCCCAGTACTTGAGTGATCCTGATGGAGTTCCAGGTTCCTGGCTTCAGCCTAGCCCAGGCCTGGCCATTGCCTCCCTCTGGGTGCCCACTCACCTCCTTTCTCCCACACGTGTGCATGTGCACACACACACACACACACACACACACACACACACGTACACGCCCATGAACTGACAAAGAGGCCTTCCCATAACCAAAACTGAGTGAAGCTCTCCTGGACCACAGCTTTGGGCTCCAGTGATATCCTTGTCCCAGGCGTATGACGACCCCTCCATCTGCGTTTGCTGCAGCTCCAGGAATTGTCCATCCAGCCCTGCCTTCCCTTGGCTTTTGCACCAGAATGGAGCCCAACCTGCCCTCAGCTCTCTTCCCCTGGCCAGAGTTCCTGAACAGCTCTACTTCACCACCCCTCTACCCAGCTCGGGTTTTCCCTTCCGATCTCCTCAACACCCACCGCCTTCACCAGCATGTGCTCTGTGGAGATGGATAGCCCAGATAGTCTGGAGCTGGACCCCCACCCAGCCCACCCCATTCCCAGATACCCCAGTTTCCTCCAGGCTCCAGCAACACCAATCAAGAGGGAGATTCCTCCCCCTCCTCCCTCCCTTCTTGCCAGCTCAATCCAACCTTGAACCAGCAACCTTGCTAGCTGTGCCTGGTAGAGGGAGACGACAGGCAGGGGAGTTTCCAAACCTGCACGGGTGAGGAGAGTGGCCGCAAGGGTTCGGTTCACAGCCAGTGGGCCCAGTACACGGAGCGAGTGGCCGGCCCAGAGCTTGTTGGGAAGTTGAGCACCTGCTGCTTGTTCAGGACTCACTGCTGAAGGATGGAAGCCAGCTGCTGACACCACAGCCCTTGGCAAGTGTCCCCTTTCCTAGCTCCTCCTGGGGCCTCCCAAGCTGGCCCTGCCAGCTTCTGCCTCGGGGTTCACCTGCAGCTCTTTTGCTGACAATAGCCCCTGCAGAGTTTTCCCCTGGGGACCTGCCAGGTCTCTCCACCCCCACCCACCCAAGTCTCCCAACCTCTGCCCCAGGCACTACCCATCACCCCATCAGCCAATCTGAAAATTGAGGACTGTTCTGCCCACTTCCTTTTCTTGGAACTTGGCACAAGACAAGTGCTTGCAAGGCTGGGCCTTGCTGGCAGCCACAGAAAAGTTCCATTCAGATCTTGGGTTGGGAATGGCGGGGGGGTTAGGGAAGAGCTGTCACAGCAGGGAGTCCAGCGAGGGGCCTGTGCCGGACAGACACAACATTCCTCACCACTTAGTGGGGAGAGAAGCCATGCACCTGTGCCACATGGGACCCTGTGCGCAGGCTGCTGTGCCCCATTCCCACGCTGCCTCCAAGTCTGGCCAAGGGGATTGTGTCCCACAGACACCTGCCCGGAGGTGTGCTCCTTGGTCTACTGCATGTCCTCCACCATCACCTTCCAGCTGCCCCCACCCCAGACTGCCCTCTCCAGAAACGACCTGGTCCTTTAGGCATGAAGTCAACCTTCTCCACATACCTCTTTTGCTGACTGAGGGTGTTTGTTTGCCTCTTGAGATGTGGCTGGGATGGGATGGGGCGTGGGGAAGGACAAGCCTGGGGACTCCGAGGGGGTGCCCAGGAGGTATCCCCCAGAGCTGACGCAGTTGGCCCTTGTGGGTAGACAGTGCTTTGTGATCTGAGGCTGTCTCTGGTCCTGCAGAGCAGAGCAGAAGGAGAGGGGACTGATGGGGTGGGGGTAGTCCCCATGCTGGGGCTGCTGCAGAAGCTGAGCACCTGTCTCACGCCCTAAAGGAGACCCCTGGCCCACTCAGGCCACTCTCCAAGGGCAGCAGGAGGAGGCCAGCAAAGGTCAGCCAACAGTCAATGCCTTCTCTGGTGGCTCCACACACTCTGTCTGCACAAATGGAGTTGGGTCCCAGTGCCAAA